GAGCTAGTTCCAAGACAGCTAGGGCTTTTACAGAGAAACCCTGTCTCGGAAAAAAAGAAAAAAAATAGCCAGTCATGGTGGCATACACCTTTAATTCCAGTACTTGGGAGGCAGAGGCAGAGTTTGAAGCCAGTCTGGTCTACAAAGTGAGTTCTAGGACAGCAGGACAGTTACACGGAGAGACCCTGTTTTGAAGAAAAAAAAAAAGGCACTAATAGGTCTCAAAGCCAAACTATTTGGATTCTTTTGCCAGTGACCCACAGACACCATGGACTAGAGGAGGCTATGGATACCAAGACTGCTCTCAAGATCACTTTTGTACAACTTTAAGGAGAAAAACATTCTGAGCAAATATGGCCCAGACAGCTGGGTGGTGGTGATGCACACCTTTAATCCCAGCACTCAGAAGACAGACAGGCGGATGGATCTCTGTCAGTTTGAGGCCAGCTGATCTAAGAGTGAATTATAGGACAGGCTCCAAAGCTACAGAGAAACCCTGTCTCGGAGAAAAAACAAAACAAAACAAAACAAAAAAAAAACAACGGCACAGAAAGGTTACATCAGTGGCTAACTCAGCCATCAGCAAGATACAAATGTAAACCACCAGAGGCCCCTGTACACTCACTAGAGTGGACCAACATGAAAGCAACAAGAAACTGCGTATGGCGCTGAGGGAGATGTGGACTGGCACAGCCACTTTGAAAAGTGATTTGGCAGTATCTTGAAAAGCTGAGCCAGGTTATAGATGCCTGTATATCCAGCACTCTTTAGGTCGGGACAGGCAGATCATAAGTTCAAGGACAGCATGGGCTATAGAACAAGAACTTGTTATAAAGCAAGACTTTACCGCAAAACAGCAAAACAGACAAAAGAAAAAAGTCCACTGGCACATGACCATGACTTACGGTCAGGAACACTGAAATCTGAGGATGATTCAAAAGGCAGAGGCACAAACGACTCAACAGCTGCATCTGAAAACAACCCAGTGCCCACTGAGAGGTAGACAGATAGAGGGAGAGGACAGCCATCAGCAGGTCCTGCAACCCTGGCATAGGCCTGTAAGCTGAGGACGCTAGACTGAGGGAGGGCAGGCTCCTTCACAAGAAGAGCTTCAGGAAAAGCTTGGAGACAGAAGGAGGTAGGTGGGTGTCCAGGACTGAGGTAAAATGAGGAAGAGAAAAGTGAAAAAACTCATATGAAATGTTTGTTAGAATAGAGAATCATCAAATCACACTTTACGAAAGTGCAGTTTGCTGTGTACATATACTTCAATATAGCTGATCAAAGCCCAGGGCCTCATGAGTACTCACAGATGAGCTACACCCCATCAGTACCTACTCGTTTAATTTTTTTTGTTGGTAATTGTTTGTTTGTTTGTTGTTTTGTTTTTTGAGACAGGGTTTCTTGGTGTAGCCCTGGCTGTCCTGAAACTAGCTCTTGTAGACCAGGCTGGCCTCAAACTCACAGAGCTCCACCTGCCTCTGCCCCCTGAATGCCAAGATAAAAGGTGTGCACCACCACCTATCTTAACCTAGCAAGTGCCAGGGTGACAGGCACTCTACTCTATCTGGCAAAGGTTGAGTTTTGTAGAGTTCTGTACTTGAGTATACAAAGGATGAGCCGTCATGTGACAGGTTGTTTTGTGCTCCCCAAACTTCCTATGTAAATGCCACAGAATTTGACCATATTTGGAAATAGGTCATCAGATGTAACTAGTTAGGTAAGGCCATCAGCACAGGCTCCTAATCCCACAACTGATGGCTTTTTGAGAAGAAAAAGTCTGTGAGGACTCTGCTGTGCCACAGGCTCAGGAACAAAATTCCCAGCACTTTCATGAACGCAGCCTCTAGGACCAAGAGAGAAGAAAGTTCTGTTGCTCACAAATTCAGTTTATGGCGCTATGACAGTCACATGATACATACTCCTACCAAGTAGACACCCAATACAGGGAAGGCAATGGCTGCCCTGCTTACTCTTTCTCAGTGTACATATAGTCCTGCATGTCTCACAGCAAAAGCCAAGTAGCCCTGGACTGCCTCAACATTCTCCACACACTGAGATATTTAGACGGCTTATTTTTCTTCTAACAACACAAGATGAAACCACAAGTTGACATGGCATTGGTGCATGAAGTGAATTCTACCACATGGCATTAGTACAGCTCACAGTTGTACAAAGAAAATTAAATGAGCACCAGGCAAGGTAGCGAATGCCCACCATCCTAGTACTCAGGAGATGGGACATGATTCAAAATCTGAATCCAGCCTGGGCTCTATGTTAAGTTCAAAGCTGGAGAGAGAGGTTGGCAGAGAGAGGGAAGGAGAGGAAGGGAAAGAGAGAAAAAGACAAAGAGAGGAGAGAGAATTAATTAAATGAACTCCTGAGTAGAAGGAAATACTCCAAATGCATTAACTGACTAACCATCATAAGACAGTGAGGCAGGGACCTCACCCATATTTCCTCCTGGGAACAGAAACTGGTTCATCTCACAGTGGAGAACTTTGCTTCCACTTTGCAGCCAACGTGATCCGAAACACAAACCTGTACCTGATGCCCGCCCACTCTTCTTCCCCATATGCCACTGGCCCCTCCTTGCCCTTCCTTCTTCCTCTTGGTGCTACCCTTTCTCAGTTCCCTCTGCTGCATTCCTGACTTCTCATGCCTGGGGTACCTTGTTCCTCTCTTCTCAACCTGTCTTATGTACATCCTCTCCTGAGAGCACGCTCCACACAGACCACCGCTTCTCTTTTCTCATCATCTTATGAGAGTATTGATTAAATTTTAAGAATATTTCTTTCCAGTCAAGAGTTCATTTAATTTTCTTCCCTGATTTGCTTTAGCCCCCAGGGTTCAGGTCCACTGAAAGACCATCTGGCTGAGAGCAAGGGTGGAGCTCTAACTCTCACCTCTACAATCCAGCTCCGACCAGGTACCCACAGCCCCTCTGTTGCAACTGAACCTGTAGCGGAAATGGGTGGGAAACGAGACCATCCCATCTGCCAGGCCAACTCCAGCAAAAGCTAGAGCCAGCCTGAGAAAGGTTCAGACAGTACAGAGGTGATGAGGAGGTGGGAGAGCCTGGAACCAGCTCCCCAGCAGAAAGAGGTAGGTGGTTTCAGAAGACCACCAAGAAGCCCCCACTGTGAGATTCATAACCTTGAATCACCCTTCCAACTGTGACTCCCTCTAATGGAGAGAATGGGGCTAAAACAACTCCCTTACAGTGTTAGGCCAAGCCTTTCCTGGACCTCCAGGAATGGAGAAAAACTGATCAACCAGCATCCTGCTAAGGGTCATATCACTAAGTGGTGTGTGTGGCCATTCTGGACCACTGTAACCCCCTTTGCAAAGCTCAGGTAGAACTGCTCCATATATCTCATATGGGTCAGTGCATATGTCCCTGGACGGTTTAGAAGCATCCAAGTGGCAGAAACACACACCATCCCAGAATAAGAACAAGGAGGACTGTGGTCAACATGTACTGGGAGACAAGAGAGCTGCCAGGTATCAAGGGTGGTTGCGGCTCTAGCCTCAAGATGGGAATTCAGTTGAGGAGGCCTAGGGAAGCAGTGGCAGGAGTCATGGCTGACTATTGGTTAAGCTGTTGTGAGAGAACATCTGTTGTTGCCTAAAAGGTTTGCTCAATCAACCCGATACCTAAGGATGGGACCTTATTTGGGAAGAGAGTTTTATAGATTTGACCAAACTGAGATGACAATCCCAACCAGATGTGACCAGTGTCCTTATAAAAGGGGAACTCAAAACGCAGATGCACAAGAGGAAGGATGCTTTCTCTGCAAACCACAGAGGCAGGGACCTCAGAGGGAATGTTTCCGTCACACTCTAACCCTAGCCCTCTGGCTAACAGAACCAGCCAAGAATAAGTTTCTACTAGAAGCCCCTATGTTTTGAGCATCTCCAGGGCCTTAGGCATAAGCAGAGTGATTTTTATCAGAAAGAAAGCTAATCAGAGCCAGATGTTGTGACACACACCTACAAATCCTAGCAGTTGGGAGGGGGAGGCAGGAAGAGCCTGAGTTCCAACCTAGCCCAGGCTGCACAGTAAGGTACTGGCAGGAGATGTAACTGCCTCAAACACACACTCATACCCAAAAGCTTTAAAAATGACAAAAGAAAAAGTAGATGCCAGCCACTTAACAAGATAACATCAGGTTAACAAGGTGAACGCCCATTTCCATACAGCTAAATGCTGTGATTTGGAATGCTGACTTGAGTTCCTGGCCACTCAGACTCAAACAGAATTCTGCAGGAAGTCGGACACATTCTAGGATCATTGTGTTGCAAGTGAGTGGTGAGGTCTTCTAGCTGAGACTTCTCCCTTCTTAGATACCACACAGGCTGATAAAGTAGCTGGGTTGGTACAGTGCTTGCATAGCATGCACGGAGCCCCAGGTTAGATTCTCAGTACTACATAAACCAAATACAGCGTCATCTGTGACCCCAGTCCTTGGAGACAGAGGCAGAAGGATCAGAAGTTCAAGGATTTCAAATAGAATGTCAGGTAAGCTACACTAGCTGGAAGCACAAGAACCCATTTCTGTACAGATGCTGTTTGTAGAAATGCTTTCGTGTTTGAGGACCCAAGTCTCTCCTGTCTGGGACCCAAGAGTCACTGTCATGGTCCCACAGCCATCTGACCTCTTGTTTGACCTGATGCACAGGCACAGCCCTCTCAGACACAGGTGCTCATCAGATCACAGTCATGAAAGGATGAACAGTGAGCAAACAGGTCTTCACACAGACTGATCCTTTTTCATCCCTGGCTTCTTAATGGGTCCTCCATTTCCATGGTATACACAAGCTGTATAGAAAGATCCAATGCAAAGGGAGAGAGAGAGATGGAGGGAGGGAGAAAATGAAGGAAGGAGAGAAAATGTAAGAGCAAGAAAGTCCAGTCCAAAAAAAGAAAAGAAAAGAAAAAAAGAAAGTCCAGTCCTTCTGAGGAGAGCAAGAACCAAAAGCTCTCAGTGGGTGCCTACCTGGGGTCACTCCCAGTTTTCAGTCCTTGCTTCAGAAACGTACATACTTCAGTGGTTCCGGGCACCAAGAACCCTGCATTCCTTTTCATGACAGTCGGAGAAGCAAAGATGGTACCCACAGGGTCTGAACCTCCTGGGGTAAGAACAAACCCATCCAGTGCTCTACCTAAGACTGATAAAAGGAGGACATCAGGATTACCGTATGTAGTTTTAGTTGGGTGGTGCCAGGCAAGCCCCAAGTCTCCTTCATTCTTTCTCATTTTGTCTTTGAAGTTAAGGTCTTACTGTGAGGCCTCAGGAGACCTGGTACTCATTATGTAGTCTAGGTTGAACCCAAACTCATGACAATCCTCCTGCTTCAACCTTTGAAACACTGGAATTATAAGTGTACACCAGCAAGCCTGGTTTATCCCCTCCCCCTTGTTTTGTTATTATTTTGGGGTTTTGTTTGTTTGTTTGTTTGTTTGGTTGGTTGGTTGGTTTTGGTTTTTCAAGACACGTTTTCTCTTTATAGCCTTGGTTGTCCTGGAACTGTAGGACACTTGCTGTAGACCACGCTGGCCTCAAACTCAGAGATCTGCCTGCCTCTGCCTCCCGACTTCTGGGATTAAATTATTGTTTGTTTTTAAGATTTGTTTTATTGGGCTGGAGAGATGGCTCAGCAGTTAAGAGCACTGACTGCTCTTCCACAGAATCTGGGATTTCAGGCATGTGCTATCAATTGTAAACTTGTTTTATTCTTTGTTTGTTTGCTTTTTGAGATCGAGTTTCTCTGTATAACAGCTCTGGCTGTCCTGGAACTCACTTTGTAGAGCAGGCTAGCCTCAAACTCACAGAGATCCACCTGCCTCTGCCTCTGAGCACTGGGATTAAAGACTCACCACCACCGTCTGGCTTGTTTTATTTTTTTAAGATCAAAGCTAATTCTAAAACTGGTATCTTAGCTTAATTTAATGTTAAAACTTTAAGTAAACATTTAAAGAAATTATGAACAATATAGTAGAGAGATTAAGATTTCCAAGAGAGCTAACTATATTTTTTGAAGCTAATCAAAAGTAATGTGAGGTCCTACACACTTAAAGTCTGTGACACTTCCTGTCCTGGATCAGTCAATTCCAGAATGCACCAACATGTCCCAACCTCTGGCCCACTGGCTCTAATTTTAGTAATCGATGTTAAAAAGGAAACAACCCCAAACCTCCTTGTTCTAAAAACTACTGTGTGTCAGGGGAAAGCAAGAAACTCCCAGATTCCCAACAATTAGAAAATGGCTGAGGTCTCCAAATAGAGGACCAACCGACTGCTGTCTGTATCGATGCTCAGCAGCTCCATATGGGAGTAACTGCACAGAAACCAAAAGACGTCTGTGTGTGTGTGTCTGTCTGTCTGTGTGTGTCTGTCTGTGTGTGTGTCCTATCCTACTGGTCAGACTCAAAGACACTTGTTTCAACCCTTTTCCCTGGAAAAGTAAGTTCCTTATTTACGAAGAAAACCAAAGATATGGCTACAAGTGGGATGTCAGTGCCAGGGAGGTTAAACCCAACACTAGTAGGAGAAGATTCCTCAGTCCTTATTCCTGTGAGGGCTGAAGCTAGGAAGGCCAGGCAGAGCCTGAACCTGTGACTACCCACAAACTCCCCTGACATGAAAGCCTTCAGGCCACCTACAATTCCAAAGTCATCATGGGGCAATGTCTTTCCTGAGAAGACAGAGACTGGTTTCCCTACCTGCTCCTCACTAAGACACTACCCAAAGCACTGACTTCCCAGAACAGATGGAAATTCCCCTGCAAGCCTGTGGGTAGCTCTGGCAGGATGTACCCTCACCACACGTCTGGTGCAAGGTTTCCAGGAGCCCTGTGCCCAAGACCAAAAGCAATGTGAGAGTCAGGATGCCTTGGCTCATGCAGAACTTAGAGTGTATGGTTTAGACCTACAAAAAGGGCCTATGGGTCACCTGGGTGTTCCATATCCAATGACACTAATACGCCTAGACAGGCAAGCAATAACGTTTACACAGGTCTGTGATGGCTGAGTCAGGCACTTCCTTAACTCAGTTCCTCCCTGCTCAGATGGCAGCTCCCTTCCTGCCCCATGGTAGAGCAGAGAGTAGCGGTGGCACATTATTCAAGCCTATTCAACTTCCTGAGTTCCAGTGTTCTTAGAACCAAACCTTACACCTCAAGTGGCATGTCTAGTTCATCAACTCTACTGTCCTGGAGGAACTGAATAAGTACGTTTTGTTATGGATAAAGACCATTTATCTGGAAGGAAAAAAACCGAACAGCAAAAATAGGTCTTAATTCCAAAACAAGAAGCATACATTAAAAGATTCAAAGGAGCCAGGTGGTGGTGGTGCATGCCTTTCATCCCAGTGCTCAGGAGACACAAGCAGATGGATCTCTGTGAGTCTGAGGCCAGCCTGTTTTACAAAGTGAGTTCCAGGGCGCCCAAAGCTGTCACTGGGTGGTAGTAGTGCTCACTGCTCACCTTTATTCCAGTACTCAGGAGGCAGAGGCAGGCAGATCTCTGTGAGTTCAAGGCTAGCCTGGTCTACAGAGCAAGTTCCAAGACAGACAGGGCTGTTAAACAGAGAAACCCTGTCTCAAACCCTGTCTCAAACAAACAAACAAACCAAAAAACAGAGAAACCCTATCTTTAAAAAACAAAACAGAGACTGAAGAGGTGGCTCAGAGATTAAGAGCACTGACTGCTTTTCAACAGGACCTGAGTTCAATTCCCAGCAACCACAGGTGGCTCACAACCATCTGTAATGATGTCTGGCGCCCTCTTCTGGCCTGCAGGCATACATGCCAGAACACTGTATACATAATAAATAAATAAATCTTTTTTTTTTTTTTGGTTTTTTCGAGACAGGGTTTCTCTGTGGCTTTGGAGCCTGCCCTGGCACTAGCTCTGTAGACCAGGCTGGTCTCGAACTCACAGAGATCCGCCTGCCTCTGCCTCCCGAGTGCTGGGATTAAAGGCGTGCGCCACCATCGCCCGGCAATAAATAAATCTTAAAAAAAAAAAAAAAACCTGTACATCTCAAAGTAAGTTTTAGTACTGACCACTGAAGTGGCAATCTTTTCATAAGAAAATCCTCACTAGCCGGACATCCATCTCTCCTACATTAAGGGAGGGTGAGCAGGTGTGGTGACTCACTCCTGTAATCCCAGTGCTTCAAAAGGAGAGGAAGAAGGTCATTCAATGTTATCCTGAGTTACAAAGCCAGTTACAAGCTAGTTTTGATGAGGGGGAAGGGGAAGGAGAAGTAAATCTAAATTTGTGGGGTTTTTGTAAAAATTAAATAGAAACCAACTTAAAATGAGAGAACTGAGACATTTCTGAGGTTAAAAAAAATTCACAAGACATTCCTATGCTTTATTAGCCAACAGCAAATTTAGAATTTTTTAAAAAGAAAAGAGGTTTTTAAATTTATTTTAAAACTTGGATTTATCATCGCATAGGTGATGGTTTGTTTAAAGAATCCATATGAAGCCGGGCGATGGTGGCGCACACCTTTAATCCCAGCACTCGGGAGGCAGAGGTAGGTGGATCTCTGTGAGTTCGAGACCAGCCTGGTCTACAGAGCTAGTTCCAGGACAGGCTCCAAAGCCACAGAGAAACCCTGTCTCGAAAAACCAAA